ACCAGAGATGGGGAGGATGCTCGCCCTGCTGGGAGTTTGGAGGGCTAAGCCCCACTGAGTCCCCTCTGCCTCTTCTCCTGTGTCCCTGCTGCCCGCTTCTGGTGCCCCCAGCTGATGGAAGACACCGAGTTCCAGAAGTTCCTTTCAGTTCACCAGAAGTGGACACAGGTGGCCACTTGGGCAAATGATGCCCTGGACACTGAGCCCCCAGAAGGGAAGAGCAAGCCGACCAGTGACTACCTGAACTTTGACTCTGATTCTGGGCAGGAGAGTGAGGAGGAGGCTGCGAGGAGGAGCTGGCACGTGAGGCTTGGGCGCTGTGCCTGTGCACCTGTGTCCCTCAGCTACAGCCCTGTGGCCCACCAATACCTACTTGCAGGCACTGGCTGCCCCTCCCTTAGACACCAGGCCTGGGGCTGTCCAGACATGGCTCGGGAGCTTTCTAGTGGGGGGATGAGGTCACCTGCAAGAAGGTCTGCCGTGACTGCTCCTAGTCACTTGCTTGTCAGTGGGCAGTGTTCACCGATTGCATGCTGCATCCTGGGCTCTGGGGATGTAGTGCTGAGCCATAGACAGGAATCCTGCCCCGTGGCGCTGTCAGCTGTCATTGTGGTGAGAGGAGAGGAGTAAACAGATGAGCACCCAGGGACACGTCATGGGGTCACAGCCGCTATGGAGAGGAAGCAGGAGAGCTTGGGAGGGAGCTGCCAGGGAAGGCCTTGCAGGGTGGGTGAGCCTTTGTCCTCTCAGCTTCAGCATGCTGGGGCAGCTGGTGGCTAGTGACCGGCTGCAGTATGGGGTGGCAGCTCTGGTTGGGGGTCGGTCAGGCTGGCTGAGGGCAGAGGATGTGAACATAGCGTCACCTGTGTACCTGGCAGGGTTTCTGTGCTAAGCTGCGACCTGGAGGACTTGTGGGACATGGTGGGACACATAGCCAGGGGCAGAGGGGGTCGCAGACCAGGGCACAGCATCACAGGGGCTCAGGACAGGGGAGCACACGGCTGCAGGGCAGACTGTCTCTGGGCACTGGGGCAGGGAGGGTGGGGCCCAAGGAGCTCGCACAGGCCTGGAGCGGAGGGGCTGGGGCTCCATCCTCAGCGTCCAGAACTCACGTGTGGGGGTGTGAGGCTAGAAGGACAGTCATGACAGCCATGCAGGCACACTTCTCCCTCCCGGCTGTCTCTGTAGCACCCCTCTATAGCTATCGTATCACCAGGTGTCCCCTGTAAGCCATTCACACCTGTGTGCTTCCCGCAGGGTAGCAGATAGCAGGTGAGTTAGCCAGGGGCCCAGCACTGGAGCTGGGCTGGGGTGAGGTCCTAATGTTTGGAGTGTTTGCTGTCTAAGTAGATGATCGAGCGTGGCTCCCACCAGGGTTATGTGGGTGGCCCTGTGAGATGATGGGTGGGTACCCTAAAGGATTCACTGTAGAAACGGTTCTGCTGTGTAAGTGCTTTCTGTGGCACGTGAAGCCCCTTAGTGTACATGACACAATTGGGAAGGTGACTGATGACTGGGAGGGGCCGTCCAGGGGAGAGCCTGGCAGGCGGCAGGGAGCCATGGAGCTGTGTGTGTGGCACGGGAGCTTCGCCCTGTCCCAGTGCCCATCAGAGGGTTTATTGGGCCGCTGGGCATCAGGGCCCTGATTGTGGTGAGTGTGGTCCACAGGCTACCCCCCAAGTTTCCAGCCCTGTGCTGCCTGAGTCTCTCTCTGGCTGCTCAGGAACATGACCTCCTCCCTGCCCCCTGCCCTCTCAGCAGAGCAAGGCCTGGAAGCTAAGGCGGCTGCGCAGCGGGGGCTGTCGGACATGGAGTACCTGAAGTCCAAGGTGGTGGCAGCCGAGTCCTCTTCCTCAGAGGAGGAGGAAAGTGAGGACGAAGCTGTAAACTGTGACAGAGGCAGCGAGGAAGAGGAGTCCCCTGCCACCCCTGACCAGCCGGAGCAAGGGAGCCCAGGGACCCTGCCTGGGAGGGGGAGGCTGCAGGAGCCTGGAGCCCAGGTATGTGCCTGCAGGAGGGACAGCGGGGTTGTGTGCCTGTCTGGGGTTGTGGGCCCAGGGCTGGGGGTGTGACGCGGAGGAGAGCTCAGCAACCTGTCACGCACTCCCTGATCCTCTGGGCTCATTGCCTGCTACACGAGAGGGGTGGCCTGCCGGGGCTCTGGGCACGAGTGAGGTGGTGACGGCTGGGTTACTTGGTGTTCAGTCACAAGGCGGGCAGGTGTGGGTGGGCTCCTCGTTGATAGACATGCCTGGTGTCACTGGATGCCATCACAGTCACTCAGCAGGCATTCTCCTGCCTCCATTTTATAGGTAAGAAAACTGAGGCCCAGAGAAGGGAAGTGACAGGTCAGGCCCCAGGCGTGGGTCTGTCAGGCTGTGAAGTTGAGATTGTAAAGGTGGACTCGACTCCCACCTGGAGTCCTGTCCTCCGGACACAGGGCATTGGACGTGCGTGCCTCCCAGTTCCTTCGGTGGAAGCTCCAACAAGAGGAAGGGGCTCTATCTGCCGTCTCCTCTTCCCCTTGCTCTTCTCCGCCCTCCTTTCTAATGCCCACCCTGTCCCTGTCCAGGGAGGTCAGAGGGCGAGGGGTTCAGTCTCAGCTCTGACCCTGTGTGACTGCTGGGCCCTGAGGGTGCTGCAGCCCCACAGGCCTCTCTGATCCTCATCTGGAAGGGACCTCCTCACAGCGCCTGTGTGTCACCAGGCAAGCAGACTCAGTGGTAGCAAGGTCTCTGCCGGGGCTCCTCCCATCTCCCCTGGCCTTTAATGGCCTGGGGCACTGCTTGCCCAGCCACGGTGCCCTGAGCCCTGGCTACAGCCCTCAAAGGCAAATGGAGACCCCATAGCCGCCACCTGCACCTGTGCCTGGACCCTGAGCCCGTGGCGGGCACAGATGCGGCACTCTTGTGCTACCCCATAGCCTCCTCTCCTAGAGCTGCCATGTCCTAGTCTGTCCTCTGCCACCACTGCCCCAGAGAATCCACTGTGGTCCTTTCTCTTTGTTCAGAGAGAGAAACCAGCAAACCAGAAGGAACCCACCATGGCCTACACCATGAAGCTCTGGGGAGCCCCGTTCAGTGTCACAGAGGTAGGTGCTCTGAGGAAGATCACCTGTGGGAGCAGAGCAGGGATGGGAGAGGAGCTTCTGTTGCCTGAGGCCATTAGTATCTTAGTGTCCAGAGTAAGAAGGAATATGAGGCCCAGAGGCTGACAGATGAAGTTAGGGAAGGAAACAAGATGGCTGCCTACAACTAAAAAAAACCGGCTTGGGGCCTCGGGAAGGCCAAGTGGTCAGTGAGGTCTCTGTTGGGAGCCCTTACCCTGCTCCCGTAGGGGCAGCCGTCTCAGACACAGGTGAGGGCGTAGGTATTGCTGCAGCCCTGCTCAACACTATTTCCAGAAACAGGCCGCAGGCCACTCAGAGCATGGGCTGCAGCTAGATGGCTCTCAATCTGTGTCAGCAGAGGCACCTGTCTTCATTTCCGTCCTGTGACGGTCAGAGAAGCTCACTACAGGAAATTCTAAAGGACACAGCTAGAACCTGAAAGTCACCTACAACTGGGATGACCACTTGGGTTATCGTCCACACTGAGCTGCGAGCTGGGGTGTAGCCAGGTGGGGTGCCAGGGTGCAGGTAAGGTTACTGCAGGTCTAAGGACTAGAGCTGGAGGTGCCAACTGTCCTTGGCACAGTGGGCAACCCTGCTCAGCATTCCTGTGTCCCACCCAGTGGCAACCACTGGTACTTTGGGGACATGCCTTCTTAGATGCTTTTTCTTGTGCACTGACACTGGTCTGGTTTCTCATTCCCATTTTGGTTAGCAGCGTCCCTGCAGCAGGAACGCGCTTGCTGCCCACCACTGCCTTGTTATGTAGTCTTCCTTCCTCAGGAGACGCCTTGATACACTTTCCTGATCTCCTAAAGTGGACGTGGGAGCTACTTACAATTTATGCTGTTAGAAATACTGAAGCAATTCCTTGTGATTAGGGTCAGAATTTTAGGGGGTGGGGGGTACCAGTATTGAACCCCGAGGCATGTAACTACTGAGCCACATCCTTATCCCTTTTTATGTTTTGAGACAGGGTCTCACTAAGTCTCTGAGGCTGGCTTTGAACTTGTGATCCTCCTACCTCATCCTCCAGAGCCACTGGGATTACTGGCCTGC